TGAGTCTGTTGGATCTCTCTCTGTTTCTGTTCAATGAACTCAATCCTCTCCTGCAGGTTGTGGATGCAGGCTGCCAGTCTGATGCGTGATTTCAGCACTTCAATGGTTTTGTCTAGGTTCTGAGGTTTAGTATTTTCAAGGAAAACTGCAAATTTACTGATTTGCTTCATTGTTGAGTTCCATATATGCTTAATTTGATCCTCATTCTCTTCATTTTTCTCTGTTTTCTGGGCATTATTGAACATGAAATGAACAGGCTGATCCTTCTGGTTCTTTGCACACCTGATTTTAGCATCTGTCAGAGCTTGCAGAACATTTTCAGGTGTCAAAAAATCTGAGTGTGTGATGAGGGCGACGATGTTCTCCTCTATGTCTTTTCCAAACAGAGACACCACTGAATCAAAGACGTACATCAGTCGGTCACTCAGTCGATTGTCACTCGCTTTCAGCACCAGACACACTGCATCGATCTCATGAACTCCGTCTGTTGAGAGGAACAAGTCCAACAATCTTTCACTGACGAGGACATCTTTGTCAATCCCTTCTGTATGTCCGTATCCAGGAGTATCGATGATGGTCAGAGAGAAGGGCAGAGTTTTATCTTCAAGACCAAAGACCTCGTACACGATCACGTCTGACGTCTGACTTTCTGTTTGACCTTTCTTCTCGTCCTCTACCATCTGATACCAGACATTGTCTTCAAACTTCACTCCCATGGCGTAGTTAACCAGAGCGTTGATCAGAGTGGATTTTCCTGAACCTGTTTCACCAACAAGCAAGATGGTTTTGTTTATCTTTGTTGGATCTTTTTCACAGAGAGTCAGTCTTCTTATAGAGCCAATGTTCTCTTGTTTCATATTTAGCTGGTAGACAGTGGGAGAAACTGGCTGGATATCAACTGTGTTATTGGTTTTACATCTGGGTGAGGTGTTCCTGTAGAAAAGTAAAGACATTGGCTCAAAAACTACTGAATGTAGAATTAAACAAGTACCACCTCACAGAAAAGCAGTTTAGTAACAGAGCCGGAGATTTCCTTCTAATGACCTGGATAACCATCTTCACTTTCTAATGACTGCTTTTCAAATGTTTTTAAATGTCATTCTATCGTGTGACTCCGCTGCACTATTATTAAATGATCTTGATGTTTTTCATTTTTGTAAAGCACTTTGAATGACTTTGTGTTGAAAGGTGCTAATTAAATAAAACGACCTTACCTTGCCTTCCCTAGTGTCTGTACCTAAATCCACCAACAATTCTCCAATAGGAATATTTGGCACGTATGCATTATTTTGTGGTAATAAAGAGTATAACCAGACGCCTCTGAGACGTATTAACTGTAACTGTTAATTAACTGTTTATTAATAAAAAAAATGTAGTAATATAATAATATGATAATGTAGAAAGTAACATGTAGAAAGTGCATCACCCCCGAGACTGTCAATCAAGCACCAGCCCCTCCCACCCATGCTATAAAACTCCTCCCTTCATGCCTGTGACCTCCTTCCTTCACTACAAATGCTGCTTTCAGTCCTAATGACACATGTGGTTATAATATTCAGTTTTGTATTTGTCATGCTTGATTCCTATTTATTTCCCTATTGTGTGAGGAAAAATCAAATAGGTGGGTGTACAAATAAATATAAAAACATCAAAGTAGTGTAGCTTAGCAAGTGACTTAAGTAAAATGTACCTTTTTTAGAAATATTATTTTGATGATGTTGTAGGACCTGAAACCAAGCTGTCGTAAGGTATTAAAGCAGCATTTCATTCTGTTGTTTTAGAAACGTTACTAATACTCACTTTGCCATGTTGACTGGTTCACAGGAGCTTCAGAATGGAGCACCCAAAGGATTTTCTGGATGGAGGAAAAATAAGTGAGTAACCTACAGATTGTAAAGTCTTCCACAGGGAAAGTTTTGACTTTTTAACTTTTGCGTTGACAAGACAACATAGAACCTTTGTGTCTCAGTTTGTGACCCGCTACATATATTACAAACGCCAAACCCGAGAGACTGTTTACGAAATAATGTTATTTATATGTACATCAAACTATGCCAGTCTGGAGGGCTGGCCAAAAAGAACAAAAACATAAAGGAAATCTTAGCCAGCCAAACCAAAGGGGCCATGGGATTACGATTAGGATAGGGTTATAAAAATGAAGTGAAACAAGTAGAAAGTAATGAAGTAGCTGCCAGAGGACGGTAGTAAATATTATATGTACTAGTATATAAGTATATGTGGCACAGTGTTGTATTACAAAATAGTTGTTCAGGTATTTGGTAGTACAAAAAGAATACGCAGCCAGTAGTAGAATTTTAACATAGTATATATTGCACAACAGTGTTACAACTGAAACACCCTCGAAATCTAAAACGAGAAAATAAACCCCCCAAAAACATATATATGGTGTATATTTTCATAACTATTTAAAAAATGTTCATGGTCATGCTACTTGCATTACTTCAAATTGCGAGAAAAAATTCAGACTTTTCTCTAAATTTCGAGCTTTTGAAAGTCCACATTTCTTTAGATTCAAGCTATTAAAATGTAACATAACACGGAGCGTAAAAACCTCCAGTAAGTGCACAGTCAAACACACAGTTAGATAAAAGTAAACCGTAAAAGGCTGAATGTAAATATAGATAGCTGTCATATTTGGACTGGCTTTCAAACAAAAAATCATTCTGAATTCTGCCAATTTTTTGAATTCTTAGTTAAAAGTCAAACACTTTTTCTCTGAATTCTGACTAAAGAGTTCTTACCTGTGCTGTTGATCTCTGAAGATGAGGAGGCGGAGAGCAAAACGCGTTTTTAAATACCAGTTGGGGGGGGTGCTCTTTGGTCACATGATTTCACAGAAACAATCTCAGATACAAACCGATATAAACTGAACAGTCTTGAATACCAATTGTTTAAGATGTTATGTCATCAGAACCTAGTCATCCATCTGAAGTTGTTGTAAAATAGTCAGCAATGAACATCTTAGCTCCCAGGCTCCTCCAACAGTGAAACATACAATATACTTAACATACAACGATATTAATATAGTGCAACCAAATAGTGAAATTGAAATAATAGAGCTAGCAAGTTGCAGGAATGAAAATAGACAAAAATGGAACAAGATCAAACTGGACATAAATATACAGTATACAGTAGAATAAATACTATACTGTAATAATATATAAATATGTGAGAGATATACACACCTAGCTAAAAACTGATAACACATTGTGGGTCTTGGGGCGTGTGCACTGGGGTTGAGTCCCAAAGAAGTGGATCTGGGTTCCAATCCGTCCTGGGACCATTGGCCGCAGGTCATCCCCTCTGTTTCAAACCTTTCAGCGCTCCATCAAAGGTGCTGGTGGGACAAAATAAGAGTAAAAAAAACAACGTTGTGTTGAATTACTTGGTTTTAACTTTTAGGTTAATGTTTGGGTGAATTGTTCTCACGACACTGGGTGTGTTCACAGCAACGCTTGATTTGTTGTGAGTGCAAAAACATACCTGTCTCTGCCGGTAAACACCTCTGACCCACATACCAAAGAAATCAGAAAGCCTTTATTCGTCACATAGTGGCAACGTCGTTTAACCAGTCAGACCTGCAGAGTGCAGCAGATGAAGGTTAACCCAGTTCATATTTAGTTTTCTATTATGCTGCCCATTGTGTAATGATTGATTGAAAAGAACAGTTTTAATATGATCAAAAGTTGTTGATGCAATTTCAAAAGCTCTGTGATTTGTGTTCACTCATTTCTATATCTTGAAAATTCAACATAATTGATTGAGCTATTATTTAATTTATATTATTTCGTTACCATACGCACCAGAAAGGGCAACTTTTTTTTATACCAGGAAAAGCCACAGGGCAAGAGAGGTGAAACTATTGTTCGTTGTACTTTGTTAAAACCTGTTGTTATAAACTGTATTCTTCACTAATACAGATCCTTTTATTTCTCCATTGGAAGAACCGTATCAGCATGTTTTCAGGTCAACAATCCACAAGGTTGTCCTGCTGTTTTGAGAAGTGCGTACAGTAGGTTGAAGTTCAGATATACTAACTCTGACAGCCTGGGGGAAAACCTAATAAATAATTATGTGATATTACCAGCGTGCAGAGAAAGAGGTGGTGTTTGTTGTATTTGATGTCATCATATTTGAATGAGATGCTCGTGTCGAAAAGTAAAGACATTAGCTTCAAAACTTGTGAACATAATATAGTGGAAGAGTTGTCATGGGTTGTGCCGCAGGTAGGACCCAATTGCAGGACTGACACAAGTTTTAACTGAAAATACCTTTTATTTCAAGGCTAAACATGTAGACGCAATAAACAGAACTATTTCCCTTGTGAACGATTCAATAATCCCACAACCACCAACAGGAAACCAGAGGACAAGACACAGGTGGGGAGGGCAGCAAAAACACAGGTGAACAGAATCAGTAATAAAGACTGGAGGGAAAACACAGGAAGCACCACAGACTAAAAACGGGGTGAACACCTTTCAAAATAACACAGGAAAGCAGACAGACAACAAAACACAAGCAGATCGTAACAGGAGTAGCAGACTCTAGCTGCTTCTCAATGTCAAGGAAGGATCCTTCAGAGCCACTATTTCAAGAATGCAACGTCATCGAATCCCGCCGAAGGACTTTTCCAATGTCCAGGGTCCTTGGAATTCTACCAGGGACTGAGTCCTTCGTTGCAGAAAATGTCAAGGCTGCTTATGTGTATCCTCGGCGGTCTTAAATTACCCACAATTCTTTGCGCACGGACCAATTTCCACGGACTGGCACGGTGGCATTAATAATGCAGTAATGATGGGCCTGCACATCATAAAGAATAGAGGGCAGTTTCAGTTTACTTGACATTCGTTAATTGTTAATGGTTAATAGTTATTTTTTTTCTAAATTTGCAATTTGCTTGTGTGTGTGTTTACAATCCGTGTATCTACCGTCC